CCCCCCGACATGGAATGACCCACAAGGGGCACATGCATTGTTCGCATCTGCCGATCTCATCATCTGATACATTTGACAAGAAGCCAGGCGGTGGGACTCGTGAATGGTACGGTGCCGTGACAGGCTCTCGTACCACCGCCACGTCTGCCGGCCGAATTAAGGCTAGTGGATTAGCCACAAGGCTGGTGGATTAGCCCCAAGGCTAGTGGGTTAGCCCCGTTTAACGTTGACCGAGGTTCTTACACGGGATTCTGTGCGCGCACAATATTATGTTATATTCATTTAAGCCTTGAAGAATTTAACTATCCACTTCCTTTCCTTGTGCCCATCAATTTTAGTCTGAGATCCTTCCGCTCTCGGCATTCTGCGTCAAGCACGGGCGCTCTTTGGTCTGTGTCAAGCATGAGTTCTGTTTAATCTTTGTCATGCGTGAGTTCAGTTTAATCTTTGTCAAGCGTGAGTTCTTTTTAATCTTTGTCAAGCATGAGTTCTGTTTAATCTTTGTCAAGCTTTCCACTCTGTGTCAAGCTGTTCGCTCTATGTCAAGCTGTCCACTCTATGTCAAGCTGTCCGATCTATGTCAAGCTGTCTGCTATGTGTCAACTTATCTGGTTTTAGTCAAGTTTGAGCGATTCAGTTCTGTGTCAATGTGCCATCCATAAATGACTTCATGGATGTAATTGGGAATGGGGTCACAAGTTTGTGACGATAACTATGACGTTGTCCAGACGTGTTACAGATTTATGACGAAATGGTGTAGGGCGTAGGGGACAGAATGGGGTGACGTCATCTATGGAAGGCCCCTAAACACGAGAGTTGTCCGATCTGTGTCAAGCTTGTGTGTTGTCCGGTCTGTGTCAAGCTTGTGTCTTGTCCGATCTGTGTATAGCTTGTGTGTTTTCCGGTCTGTGTCAAGCTTGTGTGTTGTCCGGTCTGACCTCAGCGTAAGTCTGCATGTGAGCCGGTATACTCCGGCGGTTTTGGTGGCACACCCTCTTCACTCCCCTGTCATTTAGCATTCTGCACTCTCTTCACTCCCCTGGCATTTGGCACTGTGACCCTCTTAACTCCCCTGTCATTGGGCACTATGCACCCTCTAAACTCCCCTGTCATTTGGCCCTCTGCACCCTCATTACCGGTGGGAGGCAAAATTTCGACTGCCTTTCTTACCCCAACAGTGCCTGTTAGGATCTATTATCACTACTTGTGTTATTTTTGGAAACGGATCTTGAAATAATAACTGAATTAAATGAAGTGTTTTGGCTGCTAAATTGTTATCTGAAGCTAAGATGTTGCCAAACTGTGCTATCTTTAAAACTGTGCAACTTTTATGCTGTGCCAAACTGTGCTACCTTTATGTTGTGCCAAACTATGCTATCTTTACAACTGTGCTACCTTTATGATGTACCAAACTGTGCTACCTTCATGATGTGCCAAACTGTGCTACCCTTATGCTGTGCCAAACTGTTCTACTTTTATGCTGTGCCAAACTGTGCTACCCTTATGCTGTGCCAAACTGTTCTACTTTTATGCTCTGCCAAACTGTGCTACCTTTATGTTGTGCCAAACTGTGCTATCTTTACAACTGTGCTACCTTTATGCTGTGCCAAACTGTGCTATCTTTACAAATGTGCTACCTTTATGATGTGCCAAACTGTGCTACTTTTATGGTGTGCCAAACTGTGCTATTTTTATGCTGTGCCAAACTGTGCTATCTTTACAACTTTGCTACCTTATGCTGTGCCAAACTGTGCTATCTTTACAACAACTGTGCTACCTTCATGCTGTGTCAAACTGTGCTACCTTTACAACTGTGCTACCTTCATGCTGTGCCAAACTGTGCTACTTTTATGCTGTGCCAAACTGTTCTACTTTTATGCTGTGCCAAACTGTGCTACCTTTATGCTGTGCCAAACTGTGCTACCTTTATGCTGTGCCAAACTGTGCTACCTTTATGTTGTGCCAAACTGTGATATCTTTACAACTGTGCTACCTTTATGCTGTGCCAAACTGTGCTATCTTTACAACTGGGCTACCTTTATGCTGTGCCAAACTGTGCTACTTTTATGCTGTGCCAAACTATGCTACTTTTATGCTGTGCCAAACTGTGCTATCTTTACAACTGTGCTACCTTATGCTGTGCCAAACTGTGCTATCTTTACAACTGTGCTATCTTTACAACAACTGTGCTACCTTCATGCTGTGCCAAACTGTGCTACCTTCATGCTGTGCCAAACTGTGCTACCTCCCT